GAGTTGTTAAAATACAGTAACAATTTTTGCCTTTTAAGAAATTCATCTGGTGGGGCCAGCAGTTAGCATACTGGCTATGTCACTGGACTCCCACATAGTTGACTGCGGTTCGGGTACCGGACCCGGTGGCTTAAACTCACGCCAGTCGCGTGTGCGTGCGTGCCCAAGATCCCGAGAGGAGAATGGAGGAGAAGGGATTGTGGCATGACCATCCCCCCTGGGGGGTGATTTCTCGCTTTCTCTCTCTCGGTCTCTCTCTGTCTGTCTGGCGAGCACACGTGCCCTATAGCAAAAACCTCTCAAAAAAAAAAAATTCATCTGGTAGTAGTATGAGAATTGTGTGAGAACTGGAGGAAATAAGTAGACAATTTTCCATCATTTAGTAGAAACAATAGAAGTATGAACTTAGGAAGTGTCTGTGGTGCTGGTTTGGAGAGATTTTGAGAGGTGGGCTAGAAGGAACCTATTGACATGTAGGTGGCAAGTATAAAAGGAAGTCTAATGGTTCTTATTTGGTTAAAGGATGGCTCATAGAATCATTAATCACAAATGTAAGTTTAGCTTTGAAATACATAGGATTTTCATTTAGTGGTGTCCAACAGTTATTACATACATAGGTTTGTAACTCAAAAGAAGAGTTTGGGCTAATGGTACATTTAGCATCTTCAGGATGTATAAAACCATCCAAAGGGAGTATTAAAAACTTGGAGACAAGGTATGGAACTGAACCTCAGATTTGAACTTCACTTATGACAGTATCCCTGAAACTTGGATATATAAACATGATTCATCACACAAGATGAGTTAATGTTGAGAAGAAAATGCTACAGCTTCTATGTATTCTTATTGGATATAGTAATAAGAATTAAAATAATGTTTATGAAGATTTAATAAATAGATTAAAATGATTCTCACTCAGTTCATGTTTCAGAGGGCCACATGTGATATAAGGGTCCCTGAGATAAGGGTAATAGTTTTCTGAGATAAAATGGTTAATGTGATTACCTTCTACTAGCTTATTTTTTTTGCTCATTGTGGCATATCCTAATTTACGTAGAGCCAGTGAAGTAGATTTATAGATTATGCTATCAGTTTTAACTAGACTTATTTTACCAAAGTGGACAAGTGGCTTACAAATTTTTCTGGCTAAGAAATAATGCTGACTGAAGATAGTACCAGAAATGCAAGCCCAGGTAAATATGGTAAAGTACAGAGATGACACTTCCACTCATAGAATACACATTTTCTATGAGCTAAGAACAATGAATATTTACTAAGATCTTTCAATGTTTCATTCAAATTAAATATTTTTATCTTTTTTTTTTGAGATATTTTTGCTATAGGTCATGTGCCCTTGCCAGAGAGACAAAGAGAGACAGAGAGACAGAAAGTAAGAAATCACTCCCTGAAGAGGATGGCCATACCACAATCCCTTCTCCTCCATTCTCAGGATCTTGGTCACACAGCACGCACACATGCTCAGTGTGTTTCAAGCCACTGAGTGTGCATGACTCGAACCATGGTTGAATAGTGGAAACCCAGAGAAGTAACTATTCTGTCGTCTACTGGTCTCTCAAAATGAATTTTTTTAATTAAAAAAAATCACTTGAAATATAAAAAATAGTCCTTGAGATATTAGCTAATAATCTTTCAAAATAATATTTATTTTGTTATCTTATTTTAAGCTTTCCTATATTGTGAATATATTTTCATATGCATAATATATTCAGACAGTATGAGATAGTATTACTGATAAAGGCTGTCTAAGGAAGGTACTGGTGGAGTTTTGAGGCTTTTACAGATAGGAATGAGTATTCAACAAAATTTAGAGGACACTGAGTCAGGGGTGGAGAAGTCTTTGAGTGGGTTAAGAAGAGTCATAAGGAATGGCTTTTGCTTACATTTCTTCTCTATACTCCCTGAAAAAATGGTTCCCATATTTCTTTGTATAATACATCCCTGAAAAGGAATTCACAATATCATCACACTGTTCATTACGTTATTGGAAATTCGTCTTTGAGCTCTAACAGGGTACAAAGAGAAGAAATTTTAGCAATGTGATGGTTTTATTAAATATTTGAGAGCCTTCCTACCAGAAATTAAAAGTGCAATCACTGATTCTAGTTTCACAGACCATTAAGCAAACAACCTGTTTCTGTTTGGACTATTTTATTTGATTCAGGCAACATAAAAGGCTTTCCTAATGAGAAATCCATGAAGAAAAGTTGACTTATTCCATTTTGTCAATATGCTTCCATTTAATCATACAAACTTTCATATGAATAATATAATTATATATTGCAAGCTGTGACATTTGTGCCAGAATACTGCTGACCCTTAACATTCTTAAGTCTGTCCTTTCCACCCATTGTCCTCTGTTGATTCTGGGTATTCAGAGAGCTGTCTTCACCCAGAATCGTACAGGTTTATGGAAGCAGATCCAAAATGGAAACTAGTATGAGCTCTATTTACCTTCAGTGCTTGAATTGGCTTGGTGGATGCCAAGGACTAAGAAAATATTAATATTATATTCAATGTAACCAAAGATTAAGCTTTCAATGACTTCGTTACTTAAGCATATATGACAATAGCTAAGAATTAGATCACTATTGGTAAATGAAATAACCATAGACTCAAAGAGAAAGATTTAGTATATGGTCAATTTAGCCTTTATTTAGCAAAATGAGCATTTAAAATTGTTTTTGAGGGGAAAAAAGTAACAGAACTTCAGAAAACGAAATATAAAAATGAATAGCATATTCCTGGTGGGTAACATGTTACAAGAATTCGTTTGGCATTGAAGATTCTTGGTGGGTGATCCAACAACAAGCAAATCCCTATGTGGAGAAGTAATATGGTAGTCATAGGGTCTGTTTGTTGTGGTAGATGTGGTTAAGAAACTAAGTGCACTTAGAAAATTCATAGATGTAAAAATGTTAAGAAACCATCATTATTAAGCCATTCCAATAATTAACTACTACCAGAGACACATACAAGTAGTTACAGAGTAGTTACAGGAAACATTTTATAATCATCACAGGAGTTCAGATTTTTATCTAAACATGAAATGTCTTAACTTGCCTCCCGTTGGCTCAAGAAGTTGAGATAAGTAATTTCTCTAAGTAAAAGGTAAATAGTTAACCTACAGTTTGTACTTACATTTTTCTAGGACCCAAGTTCACCTCTGAGCAGGTCTAACTGTAAGTGATGAGGATCTGGTGAAATGATCATTTTGGGAGAACATAAGCCACTGAACCAAATATGAAATTCACAAGTATATGCACTTACTTTCACCAAGTAAAAGAAAAACTGGCTTTGTTGGACTAAAGAAACTGTAAAGAAACTAATGAGATGAGATGAAAGCAAAATAGAGGAAGAAACCTGACACTTTTCTGATTTGAGAAGTGATTGGCTAATAAAATAGAATGGGTGCCTATGTCTCATTCAAAGACTATTCACAAAAAGACTCCAAGTGGAATAGCTTTGAGGTGTCAAAGGCCTCTTGTGTTTATTTAGGCCAGGACTCATGTGTATCTGGGAGCAGTTTTGTGAGTCTACTGCAGAATTAGCATTATGTGCAAATCAATTGTAATCAAATAGCAATCAATTCCATCTTCCCTTCTTCTTGAACAATTTTGTAGTGGCAATTGGCTATGGTTTACATTGTGTTTAAATATGGACTATTTTCTACCTTACCAGTAGTCCTAGCTCTGAACAAAATATATTAAAAATAAAAACACCTGCATCTGCTGTTTTTTAGCTCATGGTGGATTACTGACTAGTTCTCTTGTTGCTGGCTTTTGATTTGCGGTGTAAACCCAGGCTTTGATCCCTGCCTTAACTACCTCCTTTCCTAAAACTATTCTCCTCATCTTCCTGATATTTATGCATATGTCTCCTCCTCTTCTATCTTCTATTCTCCCTAGCATAATTTTCCTAGATTTTATTACATAGCTCTCTGGACTCTGCCTAATACTTGCATTTCTTGAACCCATTTCACTTGATGTTTCTAGTAGAGGATATAGTCCTAGTTAGAGAAGTCTTCTTATATCAAAGTTTTATGAACCAGTTCTTGTGCTTGCACCACAAATAATGAATCAAGCTTTCTTTTACAATTGTCACAGAAGCTCCATGTTCGAACGCACTCCAGAATTCATGTGTTAAGAACTGAAGGCATTGGGTTGAGCATATTCAGCATTTTTTAAGTGGATATATACAGAAGGCAATTTCTCTTAACTAGACACTTGAGAAACTGCCTTCAGTTTGCTGAAAGTGGAACACATCATGTGATTAGTATTTACGGACGCAGTTGTAGAGAACTCAATATCAGGAAGCAGATGGGAGAGGAAAGGGAA